TCTGGTCCAATGAAGCCGCTTGCAGCACCCTGCTTTGCAAGAGAGTCAGCAGCTTCATTGCCTTCCAGGCCAGTATGGCCAGGAATCCAGACCAGAGACAATCTGTTCAGTCTTCCTATCGAGGCGAGTCTTTTTTGACAGTTTGCTATCAATTTAGACGTTGCTCGGTAGAAGCCAAGAGCTTCCAACGCCGCTTGACTGTCCGAGAATATTTTTATTGACTTGTGAGTGAGGTTGGATTTATCCAATCACTCCGCAAACAATTCAATCGCGTAAATTTCCTCTTGAAATACAGTCGCATAAGTTTCCAGGCAGGTAAATAACTCTGTCCTGGGTCTGCGACTGAAAACACCTGCACCAGAACCGGAAAGTGTTTTTGATCCATCTGTGAACCAACAACTATCTGCTTTGATATTTCCTTTTCTCGCAGGATCCAGTCCTCTCTACTCGGAAATAGTACTTTATGAGGCAGTTCGTAGTTGACAGTTGGAGGCATAAAGTCAGAGGTCATTTCCAGAATGCTGTGACTTCCAATAACAACCAACCCTTCCCGACGTGGACCTTACCAGGATAACAAGGTCATCTGCATAAGCTTACAGATCAACTTTTCTTCTGTCGAGGGCATCAAGCAGACTATCCACCAGGAGCGACCATAGAAGGGGAGATAGTACCCCAACTTGAGGGCAGCCTCTGGTGATCCTGAACCTGATAGCCTCGCCTTGAAGCCAGTTATGGTCGATTCTATACCCTTTCTAGCTAGAGACAATCCTATAGATTTAGGTAGTGCAGAATCCTCTCAAGTCCTTTCAGCAGGAAGGATGTAAGGCTGATTGATCATACCGATTTGGAGTGTGGGTCTCTCCAGCCCACTTTAGGTATATATACCACCCTTGCTGCCAACCAACTGGGTGGTATATTGTTCCTCGCCAGACTAGCCCTATACAATTTAGTGAGAATAGGTAAAATTATTTCTAGTCCGTGTTGAAAAAGAGCTGGAAATATACCATCCTCTCCGGGAGATTTGAAGGGCTGAAAAGACTTGATAGCCCATTCAACTGACGGTGCTGTGATAACCTTTCTTGCGACGTCCCAGTCGTTCTTTTTTGGCCTTCGGAGATGGGCGTTGTTATCAAAAGTCAGATTTCCAGGAAAGTAGTTTTCTATCAAAATCTCTAACGTTTCTTTACTAGAGGTCGTAAATGTTCCATCAGGTCGTTTAAGCGACCCAATTCTAGCAGTCGGCTCTCCAGAGAGAATCTTGTGAATCAGAGATACTCTCACAGAACTTTCTCGAAGACTCCCGTAGATATCTAGTGTGGAGCAAAAGATATTTTTCGATCGTGAATTGCTGAATGAACTGATTGTCTGGTTGAATTATTTCGCTCGTTGACTACCTAGAAGGGATTTTCGAATTTTCAGCCAACTGTGGTTCCTTTTTGATATTGTGAAGTTTGGAGTATTTTGGGACAGTATTGGAAACCACCGCTGCAAAAGCAGGATTTTTATAAAAAGGGCAAATAGTCAGTATTTTCTCTCAATTCTTAGAGGACGATCTTTGTCTGTTTTGTGTTGGGAACACCCTCGATTATTAGGAGGTTAGTACAGTATTTTGAAACAACCTTGTTCAACTCAGTTATGGAACTCATAATAAATTTTGTCCTTATTTTTCTTACCTTTTGATTACGATGTTGTCATGCGAATATTTTTCTTCAGGGTGTTAGAATATTCCTAAGAAAGGCGTATTTGCATCAGCTTGAATTTGGGAAATTGAAATCGATTGCCAGATCAGTCTCTTGAAGAAGTTTCCTGATCGTTACCTTTACTAATAATTACCACTGGGAATATTAACAGATTCCTACTACATCCGTATCCACCGATACTGCCGGATCAGTATTCATTACCTGGCAGCTTACGAAAAAGGAGCACCCGAAAAGCAGCTAAGTTTAGACTAAGTTATTTGAATAAAGAACCCGGTGTTTATTCATTTCCTATAATAAAATGTACAAGTTACCTCATTGAGAGGAGTGGTGTAAGCTTTTACGTGACGTCACATATTAGCACATATTAGCGAATGTATTATGATAGTGGTAATCTAGCAATTGAAGTGAGGAATCGGCAAACAGAGGGGTCACTGTATTTCTTTTTTTTATTATTGTAATAAACTTCCTTAGTCATTGCAAATAGAATTATTACTTTTATGAGAAGTTAAATATTTCAATAGTGGGCTTCCCCAATAACTGGGCAGTTTTCCGGTTTTTAACTGGCCCATTTAGTTAAAAATCATTGTTTCTTTCTTAGTTAGTTGCACCCACGACTTTGTGCAAACCACTGACCTAGTCGGGCATGTTAGTGGTGTTTTTGATCTTCGGCAACCCTATTGTAAATTTAATTATCTTGTTCAAAAACATCTCGTAGCAAGATATATCTCTAAAGCCACACACTTCTAGTTTTGCTGCAGAATTTCATGATCTACGCAATCGAAAGCTTCTGAAAGATCGCAAAAAATTGCCGCTGCTATTTCACGATCATTCAAATTGAGATATACGTTTTCCAGTAGGTGAAACATAGCATCTTCCCTGTTTTTCAAACTCTGAAACCCAAACTGACTGCTACAAATAATATTATGCTTTTTCACAAACATCATAATTCTTTGTTTGAAAAGTTTTTCTATGATTTTAGCAAGGGTAGGTAGCATAGAAATAGGGCCAAAGTTGGCAGGATTGTTAGTGTCGCCTCCTTTGTGCGAAGGAATAACAATTGCTGTTTTTAAACATGCCGGAAATACATTGCTTGTGGAAGCTTGTGTTTATAGCTTCCACCAAAGCGGTGATAGCGGAGTCGGGCAACTTGGTAATAGTTATTTATGTATCAAGGGAATTAGGAGGGCCTTAATTACCGATGGCAACGTTTGCGTCCCGAGGGCCTCTGGCCCGAGGGACAGCAATTGCCTGAGGTTATTAAGGCTCATTAATTCCCGTGGTACATAGATAATTTTATTTCTGACCGATTTCAATAAAATTTTGTTCATTTTTGAAACGGAAAAATGTACCAATTCATTACCTTCCCGGTATATTTGAATCAGGTACCGTTGATTATAGTAGAGTTTTCTTGTTGCTAGGTTGTTGCTATGTTACTTGTTTATAAACAGAACTTTGTTATCAAGCTGTGTTTGCGGTGAAAACGTGTTTCCTACCCCAAATATAATGGAGGATATTTTGAAAAAAGCTGAACAAGCAAGAGAATCATTAATTCCATCGAAAAGTGAAGCCGTATACCAAAAAGAATACAAGATATATCTGGACTGGCTGACACGGAAAAATGTTATGCCAAAAGATGTCACTGAAACTGTATTTCTGGCATATTTTCAAGAACTGGTAAGGAATTTTCTATGTTTTTCGGTAGCTTTGGTAGTAATTGTGTTTATTCGTTTCAGTCAGAAACGTATAGTCCGAATTCTTTATGGACTAAATGGTCAATGCTAAAATCGATGGTGACTATACATGAGAAACGAGATATCACCAAGTTCAATGAACTACAGGCTTTTTTGAAACGGAAGAGTAAGAGTTATAAGCCGAAAAAGTCTGCTGTTTTATCTCCTGAAGATGTTATCAGATTCCTAAAGGACGCTCCTAATGATATTCATTTATTGCATAAGGTAATTTTTTTCTTATTTTCCTTTTTGTGTGTATTTATTTCCTTTTTTTTTGTTATAGGTTGTTTTGATTATGGGTTATTTTGGAGGATGCAGAAGTCAGGAACTTTTGAATATGAAGATATCGGATATAGAGGACCGGGATTCCGTTATGGTAGTGAACGTACCGGAAAGTAAAACTGGTGTATCGAAGAAATTTACAGTTGTGGATGAAAAAGAGTTCTCTGCTTTGCCTTTATTAAGACTTTATATGTCTTTGCGTCCTAAAGGTATTGAACGATTTTTTTTGAGCTTCCGACAAAATAATTGTACATCTCAGCCAATTGGAAAAAACATGTTTGGGAAAATCCCCAGCAAAATCGCAATGTATTTAGGATTGCCAAACTCATCTTCCTATACGGGACATTGCCTTCGTCGCACTTCTGCTACTGCTCTAGCCAATGCAGGAGCAACTATGACTAACTTAAAAAGACACGGAGGTTGGAAAAGTTCCACGGTGGCGGAGGGGTATTTGGAGGATAGCATCGAATTGAGAAATAAAACGGCGCGTATGTTGTCTACTTTGTCATCAGAAGAGGCAGGTACCTCGACTGTAGTGAACAGAAGCTCCAGCCATACAAAAGAAGAAATTGTTTCCAGTGGCGGAAGTAATTTTCAGGGAACATTTCAAAATTGTACATTTATTATTTGTAATGACGTGAATAAATAAAATATGGTTCAGTTTTCATTTCTATTTATTTTTACTTGTGAAAGGTAGAGGGAATTATAAAATCTATAATGTCCCAAGGGAGTTATGACCCTCTTTATTGATAGCGTAACTATGACGATATAAGCTTATAATATCCCGGTCAGAAATAAATACTTTTATGCTCATGTCATCCTAACCAGCTGAGTTTGAATTTTTTATTTCTTTTATAATTTTTATAATTTCCATAACATCTGTAGGCATGAAAAAAAACGTTGCTGTAACTGATTTCATTTTGAAAGAAGTCAAGGGAATATTATTGGATCTCATATCTTTGGATAATTCATGTGCCACAGTAATATTTGTTAATATAATCAGATTTCAGGTCAGAATCACCCGGTATATCAAATGTCTCACGGGATGATTTGAATAGACCAAAATAATGCATTTTTAATTCGACTTATTACCAAAAAATGAGCACCTAATATGGAACTGGACTTCGTTCTTAATGCGATAAATACTTAGTGATAAGCAATCATCTAATCGTTTGTTCTAATTATAACTTCAATATGTGAATCTTCTGAAATTAATTATCAATTTGTCCCAATTGAACTGCTTGAATCAAGTATTTAACATTAATATATGTGACAGGGCCCGAAAGTTATAAAATATTTCATAGTTGTATTTTTGAACGAACTGTGTTTATTTTGACCCAGTTTTAATCATTTCGTCCGAGCCTTCCAGCAGTCTACATCCGCTCTCAAAAGAGATGGCGTCGACGTCGTATAAGATTAAATGAATGTGCGTCGCAGTCATGGCACATCGCGATCGAACTCGCCAGTAACGCTGCGCAAGATCAATTTGCAGCCCCTCTGAATATCTCTTCTTACGTAAAGGGTAGTGAGTGAGGAGAGTCGTACACCATGGCTGATAAAAAAGGGAGTGAATTTTATACTCGACCTCCAGTTTTGGGGAAATGGGAAGGTTTCCGACAGTTTCTGTGGAATCCTGAAACCAGCCAGTTCCTTGGAAGAACTGGATCTAGCTGGGGTAAGAGAAATTGTAATTTTTTTGTTTCCTAGGAGTTGACCTAAAAACTGCTTGCAACGGTTTCCTGGTGCAACTATTCTGATTCAACATTGCTTTCTGATAAATCGATTGAAACTCAAGATACTTCTGATATTTCAAATCGCAAACATATACATTTCCTTCAGCATAGTCTAACGAATTTATACTGAATCAATACTAGTTTTTACTGAATGATGATCTTTGTTTGAACAATTGATTATAAATAATATTTTTTCAATTCTCTGCTATATGAATAGGGCGGGGTTTCGGGTGTGAATTTTTCATGATTTTCTAATTGTTCAACCCCGTATACGAGGGCGCTCCCAGAAGTACCTGGCCCAACAAAGAAAACACAAAAATTTTGGAAAAACATTTTTGTTCAACTTAATCTCTATGCAGTTCTATACACTTCTCCCATCGATGTTCAATAAGTTAGATACCTTTTTTATAATAAAAACTGTCTTGCTATTCAAAATAGCCATCAATTGCCTTCATCACTTCTTTATCGTTGGAAAATCTTTCACCACTGAGCCATTTTTTCAAGTCTGGGAACAGAAGATGAACCAAGGGGGCTGAATCTGACGAATAGGGTGCATGAGGAAGCAGTTCCAACTTTAATTCGTTGATTTTGGTCATTGCGATAATGGATTTGTGAGCTGGTGAATTGTCTTGATGAAAAAACACTTCTTTCTCAGCCAATTGTGGTCGTTTTGGCTTGATTTTTTGACTCAAACATTGCGATATATTTGCGTAATACTTACCGTTGATAGTTTTCCCCTTTTTGGGATAGTCAATGAGAATTATCCCCGGCGCATCTTTGCCTTCTTTGGAGCCAGTTCTTCCCTTCGAGTCCACTGTTTTGATTATTCTTTTGTCTCGGGTGTAATGTGATGGACCCATGTTTCGTCCACGGTTATGAAACGACGAAAGAATTCTGCTTTGTTGCTGTGAAACTTTGCTTACCACTCAATTGAAACATATTCACGACACTGTTTTTGTGAGCAAACGCGGCACCCATCTTGCACATAGCGTTCTCATTTTCAAATAATCTACGATGTACCGCACTGTTTGAAATGCCAACTGAGTCTGCTAGCTCGCGCACTTCCAGTTGACGATCATTTATAATCCGGTCAATCTAGACATTGGAAGGCACATGAATTTACAACAAGCTGCAAACGCGTGTAATTATTTAAAACATAGTTAAAAATGAGATTCTAAAATTCTGAGTGATTGCGATGCCTGGAAAAAACATTGTTTGAGGTCTAAGGTCAAAAATCTCTAAACAAATTGTTTTTTTCGCGATTTTCAGGAAACCGGTAAGTTTTATCATAAAATAACTTCAGATAAAAATTGTAGATCATAAAATTCTCTACAAAAATGTGTCGAAACTTTTTTTCTTAGAGTCACCGTTTCTGAGATACGACGAATCAAAAAGTTGTAAAAGTTGTAATCGTCATTATATGCACACGTTTCCACGCCACCTATGAGGTAGTGTACTTAGCGCGTTTTTTTCAACGTGGTTTCCCCAGTAGGCCTATTCCACATGTCTGTTGTGATTCTGTCAAATTGAAAACTTGCATAATAAAATATATTAGGAAGGGTTGGAAATTATAAAAGCGATTGAAATTGAATAATTATAAAAATGTATTCATCTGAGTCATAACCTTCAAATACTTCTCTTGATCTTCTTCTTCTTCTTGATTTTCATCCTGGGTGTGGGTAAACTGCGTCAACTCGTTGGTATCAAATGAATCCCCCACTATTGGTGATACAGTATTAGAACATGACTGGCCTTGACAATGTGTACATGCCAGAAAACACGACAGTCCAACTTTTTTACAACCTTATTCAGCGCTGCATCCCTTTTTACAGTTGCAAAAAATTGTGGTCAGCAGTTTTTCCGGCGCAGGTGGGAGTAAAGTCTGAATAGGTTCTAATGCATTGTCGACCAACTTCCAACCCCAGTCTTTCGGGTCAAGCCACACTTGAACTTGGTAATATACCCGGAAAAGATGTTGATGAGCAGCAACTGAGGTTGGAGGAAGACAAGCTAATTGCACATGTTTCTTATTTTTAGTGTTTTTTACGAAACATGCATATCGATACTTATCTAAGCAGGTGGTTTTTTTCGGAGCTTTGTACATAAAAAGAAGAAACTGAATCCTGTTGGTGATACTTTCTTGTGGAGTCGAATTACTTTTTTTGAAAACTTCAGCACATTGAACTAAATCTTGTTTTTCAAACATATCAAAGACAGTTGCTTTACTCCTCCTGTAAAATGCAGACATCGTATCACAGCCAGTTATTGCCTGTAAAAATAGTACATAATTTTGACTCTTTGCAAAAGTAGATAAACTTTTTGATGGAAATATTTCGGTTTGACTTTGAGCTTTTCCTGGCTTTAAAATGAAAATAGTTTTTTCAGATGGAGTTCGAGCAGTAAGAAGTACGAGTAAGTCTACAACAATAGTTGTATTTGTCAAATTGAATTGATCCATAGCTCTTTCAGTAATCAGTACGTCGGCATCGTTATTAGCCTGTTCAACCAATATATTGTCGCCAATAAACTTATCCTTCAACATTAAAATGAAACGAGATTAACGATTACAACTTTTTGACTCGTCGTATCTCAGAAAAAGTGGCTCTAAGAAAAAAAGTATTGATACATTTTTTGTAGAGAATTTTGTGATCAACAATTTTCATTTGAGGTTATTTTATGATAATACTCACCGTTTTCCTGAAAATCGCGAAAAACCAATTTTTTTCGAGATTTTTCACCATTGACCTCGAATAAATTTTTTTCCAGGCATCACAATCATTCGGAATTTCAAAATCTCATTTTCAACTATGTTTTGAACAATCACACGCATTTGCAGCTTGTTGTGAATTTATGTGCCTTCACTCTTATTTTTTAGTCTAATTTGACCGGATAATTAGTGTCGCTTTGTGGATTTTCTTCACCGTTTCTGAAGTCGTCACTTCATTTGGTCGACCACTGCGACGCTCGCCTTGGCAGCTCGTACTGCTTCGTTTAAACTCGGCTACCCAATATTTGACTATCGTAAACGAAGGAGCAGACCACCCAGTTTTTATATTGGTTGAGCTGAGGCCTTTCAAATAAAAGGATTTTACCACATAACCATAACCAATTTTTGCTATTTCCACAAATCCACTGAAAACGTTCATTATAGATGGCTGCCAAACAAATACTAAACAACGCAGCGTCTTCAATCTTGAAACATATGTTTTACAGTTTGTGTACTTTCTAATACAGTGATACTTTTCAAACAACTACCGCCATCTCTAGGTCAGACCAGGTGTTTCTGGGAGTACCTACGTATATTACAATATTTCTAATGCAATAATTAATTTTTATACAAATAAGAAAATTTGAATATTTCAAACTATAGCTCTAGAAGGAGACGGCTACAAATCCATTATAGAGACAGACTTTAACATATTTTCAGCAGTCGGTAAAATGGATGAAGAAAAATGATTTTCATTTTCGATTTCGAAAAAACGATATTATTAAAGCTATCTACACGTTATTAATCTACGAAATGCTGTCATTTTTCACATTATTGATTAGATATTTATGTCACTCCTAATTGGTATCCAATGGATATGGAAATATTACATTACATGAGTTTGTTATGTATACATGAATTGATGACAATTAACCGAACTTGTTTTTTAAAATAAAGGGGATATCTGTCAAAAATAAGCAAAACGTCAACTTTATCCTAGTTGCATAACATTTGGCATATGGATATAAAATTGCCGTAGACACAACTTTTTCAAGTAACTTTTTGTTAAATTCGATCTAGAAATGCACTTTTTCAATTTTTTTCAAAAAAAAAGTTGAATTTGACAAACACTGAACGTCAGTGGGTTGCAGTTGGCCGCATCATTTAAGGTTAAATTCAAAGCACAAACAAGTGCCGAAGTTAAACTTCATTGAAACTTTTCGAAAAAAAAGTTTCCCATATGGTGCGCATTTTAGTGGTGACACTGTATAATAAAAAACTCAGAGAAACTTTCTCTATTGAAGTCTTAAGGTTAATTCATTTTGGATTGACGCAATCAGTGTTGCAGTATGGCTTTTTATTCTGGGGCTTTTCAGCACACATTGGTAATAATCCAGTCATTTAAGCTTAAATTAGGTAAGAATCTCGGAATTCGAGATACCCAGCTGTAAGTCTGTAAATACTTGTATATTGACACCCTAAAAATTGTCTCAAAACCTACATATGGTAGGGTGTAAGCAACTATTAAATTTCAAGGTCAAAGGTCACAAAAATCGGTTTTTTGCGCTTTTTTTGGAAATATCTCATTTCCTATGGGTTTTTTGCTATTTGTATTTATTATCAATATTGTAGAATACAAAATTCTCTACAAATTTTGTT